AATCAGAATAATAGAGATATTACAATTAAAAAATTAAGTATTATCCCAACCGCCATTACTTTTGGCTGGGACTGTATCACAAGCTAGAAGATTATTTAGTTTAACCTAAATCTAATTATTCTGAAATCTGGCCCTGAACCTTTTCCTCTGAGAAGTCAGAAAAAGAGGAATTCCAACCTATCGAATATAAAACTATCTTAAGCGTAGGAGCTGGTTTGGTTATCGTAAAATATGGATGGTTTGATATTAGTAATATTAGAAAGGGATTTATTAACTTCCAAGCTCAGTCATTGAAAGTATATCCCATTTGCAATATCAAACATGACAAAGATCAGTTATATGGCTTTCTTCGAAGTAACGGCTATTTTATACTTAAATGATATCAGCAGAAAAATTATAAACCAGATCATAAGGGATTAGCGTTTGAAAAAGTGACTGAAATTTCTGCAAAACCTAAGAGAGGAATAGTCGAAAGAATAGGTGATACTATATCAAATCCACGTTCTCTTATAGGATTATCAGAAATGACAATTAATGTAGAAAAATTAAAGGATGCTCCAGAAGTATATCCTGATTTCTTGGGTATTGAGAAAATAACAACACTTATTTGTTCTCCCCTGGGAACATGGAAAACTACTGCATTAAGAGAGAATATTATGGCATTGAAAGATAAAGTACATGATATTTCTTCTTTGCCATATTATATCTGGATCTCTTACTAAAAGTCTCTTAGCAATAAATCAAAAGCGAAACTTGACGAGTTAGAAGTATCAGGTTTCGAATTTGTAATTACCAAAATATGCAAGGAGATTTATCTATAAAAGAATGGGATATTATCATAGTGTAAGTTGAGAGTCTGTTTTGTATCGAGTTCTCAGCCCGTCCATTTATGGCTATTCTTGATTAGGCCAATACCATTATGAGTCAAATGTCTAGTGATACAAATGCACAGGAATCTGAAAATACAATGTGTGATGTCTTAAGTCTGCAAGACATGTTTTGGCTATGGATGCCTTTGCAAATAAATCAACATTAGCATTCCTTAAGACATATTGTGGTGAAGATATTCGTATAATTGATAATAGATACCAGCTTTGTGTAGGTAAGATGGTTGAATTTATTTATGATTCAAATAGTAGAGCAGAAACCATGCAAATAGGGTATGAGTTTCTAAAGCAGGGTAAACGTATGGCATTTATATCTACTGGAGCGGTAATAGCTAGAGCAGTGATGGGTTTTGGACACATTTTTTAGTTTTGGACAAGGTATTGAACATATGAAATTGTGTCTAAAACCTGTCCAAAACTACCTAAAATTGTCTAATTTCCCAACACTGGGCTAGAGCATTAGTAGAAAAAGCATCTAAGCTAGTAAAACCCGAGCTTATTATGGAGATATAGATGGAAGACAACGTCAAAAAGACTTTTCTGATATTAATGTCACTTGGGATGAACTTGATTGCGTAACTTATACAAATACAGTGAAGGCGGGAATATCATTTGAGGTTACAGATTACTTCGATATAGTTATAGCTATTACAAATATCGCTACCCCAGTTCATGTTGAGGCTCTTGTACAAATGCTTTATCAAATTCATGACTGTCCTCGCCATATTGTTTCTATATTCTATCAGAAAAATTCTAATGAACTTTTTCGCCCGCTAGGTCATGAAAATATTCAAGCAGAACTAGAAAATACTTGGCCTAATAATTTACCTACATCAATAAAGGGCTACTGTGAATGGGATAGCAACGCTATTTCTTATAAAATTGACAAATTTCCTGCTGTAATAATATTTATTGAAGTTAAGCATCAGAAACACCTTTCTACAAGATATTTTATTGAGAAGCTTTGCAGTCTTGTAATCAATACTGGCATTTCTCTCCAACTAATAAAAATGGATGAGAGCTGAGGAGTTATAGGAAATCGTAAAAAGTCCGTAATGAGGTTAGGGTTGAAGCACTAGTTATCAAGGAAACAGATTTTGATGCGGTTGCTACTTCCCAGAATCTTAATCCTGAAGAAGCTGAAAATCTTAAGTTTGATCAAGAGTGCTCTATTCCAGATACTATGGCACTTAAACATTTCTATATGCGAAATATTTATGGTAAAGATATGGACGATGAGATTTGGGATAACCTTTGCAATAAAAAGTTTGTAAAATATTTCAGTCTGCTTGAACATTGGAAACATTTCTTGCAGTTATCTCACTTTCGAAAGTAAGGCTATGATGAGAAGAATGCAATAAAAGGGTTAGAGGCCAAAGATATTGCATAATGGGAAGATACCTATTATAAAGCTGGATTAGAGCCCACAGGTTCGTGCGATGTAAAATTAAAAATTATGCATTTTAAAATTACTAAAAATGCAAAATATGCAAAAAATATTTTTATATAGTAAAAAAGAT